GTAGCTAGGGTTACTCTGTTTTATACAGTGTGAAAACGTGGTTGAAAATCCACGTGGCCTAATGACGATTGTTTTTATGAAAACCTAATTAATTAGGCTTTTCATTATAATGACGATCTTTATGGAAGCATGCATTTTCATTTCATCGATCAAGAAAAATCTGATTCTTTCTTGCTCGATAGATTCTGTGCTATGAGGCAGACCTTTAAACTCGTTGTTTCAGGCGATTACTTGTGGTTCCCAAGAAATTTCTAGACATTTTTTTAAAACGTGTGATGTTTTTACATACCGTACGTACTTAAATATTGAGCCAATTTTGCTTCTAGAAATTTTGTTTTCTAAAATTATAGTACATTCTTAACTAGTTTGAAGACTTGTTCTGAACTATAACATGTCTTTTCGTATCTCTAACTTTTGATATATTATAGATCTGAGATATAAATAAATCAATTATGTCAATTATTTGCTAAATAGAGATACAAGAAATAGGCCACATCAACTAATAAAACACTTCTCGCAAACACATAGAAACAGCCTTGTCAAGGGTCTGAGTAAAAATGATATTGCCCATTGAAATGTTTGAACTTTTGTAGAATTGGAGCCACGCACCCTCAACTGGCCCATGAGACCAACATTTGAGCTAAAAATTAATGCTAAGTGATTTGGCGTGAAGTTATTTGGTCAAAATTTATGAACATATTCATTATAAAGATTACTTAAATAGTTAAATGAATATACTTTTAAAATTTGAAGGGCTCTGCAGCTCATTTTAATTGTATGATTTTTAGCATCTCTAACTTTTTATATATAGATTTGGTGGATAGCGAAATTAATCGGATATTAGAAAAACAAATTATTCAGATCATTTTATTTGTAGACAGGTAAAATTATAGTATGCCACATCAACTTCTGTATTACTTAATTATACAATGAACTCATCCATCTCAAATAGCTAAAACGCCTTTGTCTTTTTGTTTTTCAAATATATCAGAATCAAACATTACTATGTATAGTATTTACATCGAGATAATAGGAATATGCAGCAAAGTAAGTGGAAATAAAACTATTTGTTTGATAACTGTTTTATTTGTTCAAAGTATACAAAATTCATCCCAATCCTATCTTCTTACAAAATGACACGTGTCAAAACCCCATCTCACAAGCTGCTCCAAAGTCATAAATCATGATAACATCCACACATAACCTCTTTAAGCTAATCGCATATCCACCACCCAATCTACTAGACATATATTACCCAAAACGAACGACACAACATGGCCCATTAACGAAAGAAGAGAACGTCCCACAATGCTAACCGCAGCCGGAGACGATGAACCGGACCTGGTCGTGGGACAGGATCCGCCAACGGAAGCCGCCACTCCAAGAGTGCTGACAATAATCTCTCACGTGATGGAGAAGCTCGTGGCACGTAACGAGTGGTTGGCTAAGCAAACTAAGGGATTCGGGAAGAGCTTGGAGGCTTTTCATGGCGTGAGAGCACCAAGTATAAGTATAGGGAAGTACCTTGATAGGATTTATAAGTACACAAAATGTAGCCCTGCGTGTTTCGTGGTCGGGTATGTGTACATAGACCGGTTGGCTCATAAGCACCCTGGCTCATTGGTTGTCTCCACGAATGTTCATAGACTCCTCGTCACTTGTGTCATGATTGCTTCCAAGATCCTAGACGATGTGTAAGCCTTTCTTGAATTCATC